ACTCCAGCTTTTCCTGATCTCCACACAGATCCTTAATATGCATACCCGCCCAGAATATAAAGGAAAACTCTCAGCTACTCTCCAGTGAGGGGCTAAGCGGAGGTGAAAACGACGGGCAAACACTTAGGGGAGTGTGGAGAAACAAAGGTTTAGGGATAATCAGTTAAAGGATTACATGTAAAAGATACCAGGACTAGACAATAGCTCCTGTGGATGTTTCTGAGAATAAATGGCTCCCGGATGCAAGTCATGGGTGGCTCATCAAATCAAGTTAAGAGAGGGATGTGAATTCACAGAGATATGCATGAGATGCTGTTCCAGAGTTATACAAAAAGCCGGCCAGGAGAGGGCGCACACTTCCAACTTCAATGAAATTGACGAGCAGTAGGTTTAGAACAGATAAAAGGAAGTATTTCTTCACCCAAAGAGTAATTAACATGTGGAATTAACTGCCACAGGAAGTGGTGGCAGCTACAAGCAAAGACAGCTTCAAGACAGGATTGGATAAATATATGGAGCAGAGGTCCATCAGTAGCTATTGCCACAAGGTATAGATGGAACACTATGTCTGGGGCAGTTATGCTCTGTATTCTTGGTGCTTGGGGGCCACCGTGGGAGGGCTTCTGGAGTTCTGGCCCTGCTGGTGGACCTCCTAATGACAGCTGAGTTTTGGTCACTGTGTGACATAGAGTGTTGGACTAGATGGGCCACTGGCCTGATCCAGCGTGATGTATGTTATGTTCTTATGCTGCATTTTGGGTATTTTTGAAAAGCACCACATTCTGCCCACTATGGGTACCTTTCTTGAAGGTTATCGTACTTTGGGCACATTATGTGACGATAAACGTCACGGGGAAAGACAATAATGCTAGGAAAAGCTGAAGGCAGCAGGAGAAGAGGGAGACCTAACCTGAGATGGATCAACTCAATCGAGGAAGCCAGGAGGGCCCTCCGTTTGCAAGACCAGAGCAAGGCTGTTCACGATAGGACATTTTTGGAGGTCAAGCATTCATAGGGTCGCCATACGTTCGAAGCGACTTGACTCAACACACGCACACAGACTACATAACGTTAATACATCCTCCACAGGTAAGAACTGGTTCCATCAAGAAGACAAAAAGGCAGACTGGAGGAATGCAGGGCAAAGGAAAGGGAAACAGAATCCTCAACCCAACAGATATAGCAAAGGATTGATGCACTTACTGTCAAGGGCTGGCTGCGTCCGAACACTGCCATGTCCATTCTGGAAGTCCAAGGGAAAGAAGAAATTAATGACTCGGTTGCCCAAAGGAGAGGCATTCAACATTCAAATCATGCGATTCATGTGTCTTATCAAGCCTCGATGTAAGAAGCTTTACTTCAAATACAACCCCAGCTAATCCAGGGAAATCAATTTAGTGTGTGACATTTCTTGCGCGGGGTCCGTGGGGGAAAAAAAATCAGCACGGACATTTTGGCTCTGCTCCGCGTTATTGTTCACATCTATTTTTAATGGATACATCCCCATTTCAAATCCATCGATATAGCTGCGTCTGTAACTACGATGCCCTGGACCATGCTAGCCCAATCTCGGAAGCTAAGCAGGTCCCCTGTGGTCAGTACTGGGTTGGGAGACCACCAAGGAAGTCCAGGGTTCCTAAAGACATCCGGTTGTCCTCGACCAGGGCCGGGGCCTTTTTGGTCCTGGCCCCGACCCGGTGGAACCCTCTGCCAAATTCCATCATCGGGGCCCTGCAGGATCTGATGGAATTCCGCAGGGCCTGCAAGGCGGAGATGTTCCACCAGGCTTTTGGTTGAGGACCAAGACGGTTCCCATCTCGGCTGGCACCCTTTTCCTGTTCTCTGTCGTTTACATCTGTTTTTGCCCTCTACCCCACCTGTCCATGAAGTAGCCGGCAGTGGGAGTTGGGATGGGGACTGGTTATTCGCCAACTGCTTGTCTCTAACGTTCCGCTAATGTGTTGACTGATTTTATCTTGTTTATCCGTGGTTGTACATCGCCCAGAGCCCTGAAGAATCAGGGGCTGGTCGATTCATAAGCATCACCATCATACACAGAGGCAAGCCATGGCAAACCACCATCACCGGATCTCGGAAGCTAAGCAGGGTCGGCCCTGGTCTGTACTTGGATGGGAGACGGCCGGACAAGGGCAGGGTTGCCATGCAGAGGGGCAGGCAAGGACAAACCACTGCTCCCCTCTTGCCTTGAAAGCCCCCTAGGGTGCCAAAAGTCAGCTATGACTTGACAGCAGAAGAAGGAGAAGAAGAAGAAGAGGAAGAGAGATTGGATTCATACCCTGCCCTTCATTCGGAGTCTCAGAGCAGCTTACAATCTTCCTTTCCCTCCCCCTCCCCACAACAGACACCCTGTGAGGTGGGTGGGGCTGAGAGAGCTCTGACAGAAACTGTTCTTTTTCAAGAACACCTCTGAGAGAACTATGGCTTGCCCAAGGTCATCCAGCAGCTGCAATTGGAGGAGTGGGGAATCAAACCTGGTTCTCCCAGGTAAGAGTCCGCGCACTTAACCACTACACCAAACTGGCTCTCGTAAGTCAGCTATGACTTGATGGCGCTTTCCACTCCCGGAGAAATAAGCAGGATCACTGCTAGGTTTGATCCTTGGTAAAATGGTGTGCGTGACATAAGAAGACATACACCTAATTGCTTAGCAGCAGCAGCAGCAGCAGAATTCAGACCATTTTGCCAAAGAATTTAAGTGCATGCGGCTCCGGTATTAACCAGAAGAAGGCACAAAGAAAGCACTGCAATGCCAACGGGTGTGCATCACCTGTCTCTTCAGCCCCAAACTCATCAGACAGCCTCACCTCACCCCCAAATCTGCAACTGGGAGATAACAATGACCTGTCTTACAGCGTGGCTCAAAGGATTACCGAGCACACGTGCAAAGCTCTTTGAATTCTCAGTGTCAAATTAACATTAGCTACGCAGTATTTCGAGTTAAATCATTTTGAAAAGGCAAAGTTCACACAAAACCAGCCAGCAGTGCTCAGAGATAGCAACAGAAAGCCTTTGACGAATGTCAGAATGTCTAAATGAAGGCTGTCTGGTAAGAAAAAAATTATACAGATGTGCGCTAGATGCTCACAGAATAATACAATAACAAGAGAGACTAGGTTAAAGCCACAACATCATTTAGTGTCAAGTAATGAAAAACACACTTATTCCCTCATAGAAAAAAAATACAAAGGTCAATAAAATTACACATAGCAGTCTGCTCCAAACTCGGTAAATATCATTCTAACGACCTTGTATTCACAAAAGCAGTCTGCTCCAAGTTCAATCAACACTTATTCTGGATAGTAAAGTGTTTCAGACCTCTGGTCTTTCCTCAGGAAAAAAATACTATATATACAGCAGTGATGGCGAACGTTTTAGAGACCGAGTGCCCAAACTGCGACCCAAAACCCACTTATTTATCGCAAAGTGCCAACACGGCAATTTAACCTGAATGCTGAGGTTGTACTTTAGATATAACAACTCATACATTAACTTAAGATGATCCAAACAAAGGAAGGAAACAATCCGAAATGCTTTCATTTGCTTGACATTATTTGGCAGAGAATTCGACACTTTAATGATGGTCTGGGCCTGGCTGGGGCGACGGCACGCGTGCCCACAGAGAGGGCTCTGAGTGCCACCTCTGGCACCCACGCCATAGGTTCGCCACCACTGCTATACAGGAATCTCACATTCAATATTACCTTCAAGTTGACACACCCATAGATTTACTTTTCTGTTAACTCCTCCCCAGCACCTGACCACACCGATTTTTTTGTACTTTCAATTCTGCGGGAAAGCTACTCACCGTGACGGCAGCTGGGGCCGGTTCCGGCGGAGGCATGGAACTTTGGTACGTTATCCTGCTATGCACAGAGGCCTGGTCATAGGACGAAGTGGTGGTTACGGGGCTAGCGCTCTGGGAAGAGCAGCTCGGGCCGGCAGAGGTGACGGCAGGGGTGCTATAGGTGGACTCCTGCGCTGTAGTGGACATTGGCAAAGAGGCATTCAAAGGATCACTGGAAAAAGTAAAAGTCATCGATCATCACCGTCAACGTCGACTCAGGTTCCGCCACAACATCAACCAGCCCCTGTCAAAAGCTACTTCTGAACGGGATGCGTAAGGGTTTGCGCAACTTGAAAAGGGTTTAGAACTGCGCTTGACTCCCAGCTCACGGGATACAACCGAGAGCTCATGGCAGCCCCCCCTCCGAAATGCTTTGGCCTCACAGCCCTCTCCATAACTTCCTGGCCTTCAGCAGTCATGAAGAAGAGAAGAAGAGATTGGATTTATACCCTGCCCTTCACTACCCAAAGGAGTCTCAGAGCGGCTTACAGATTCCTTTCCCTTCCCCTCCCCACAACAGACACCCTGTGAGCAGTGTTCCCTCTAAGCTGAGTTAGTGTGAGCTAGCTCACAGTTTTTTAGCCTCCAGCTCACACATTTTTGTCTTAGCTCAGGAAGAATGGCACCAGAGCAAACTAATTTATGCAGTAGCCAAATCGTTCGCTCACAACTTTAATGCCAGTAACTCACAAACTACAATTTATGCTCACAAGACCCCACAGCTTAGAGGGAACACTGCCTGTGAGGTAGGTGGGGCTGAGAGAGCTCTTGACAGAAACGGCTCTTTTTCAAGGACAGCTCTTATCAGAACTATGGCTTGCCCAAGGTCATCCAACAGGTGCAAGTGGAGGAGGAATCAAACCCAGTCGCCCAAAGTAGAATCCGCACTCCTGACCACTCCACCAAACTGGCTTTCACAGTAAACTGGCAAAAATAGGGACCACGGTGGAACAGATCCAAAACAAAGAAAATACCGTGTACAAAAATACAAAACTAGAAAAGTAAATGATTTTGATAGAATACAAAGAATTTATATAATGTTTTAAATATAATCAAATATATACACACGTGAAAAATAAACTCATAAATCCTAATCCCATGGGGAAAGTGCACATGTTGTTATAAGGATGGAGATTGGTTCCAGAAAATAATTTATACAAGGAATTGTTAAAGTGATTCTTGAGAAAGAAAGCTGGAAATGGCTTGTACATCCAGGGAGCCGCTGGACCGCTTCTCCTCTAGTGACAGGATTGTTGGATCACTTCTCTTACAAGCAGCAAGCTCTGGAAGAAGTATATTTTGGACTATTCCTTTGCAGTAGCAGGACATACAGAAAAGAGAATCCTTGCACTGTTTATTCCGTTATATTGTTTCTCATTCATGCATGAACCTGTGAGTTTATTTTTCATACGTGTGTATATTTGATTATATTTAAAATATTATATAAACTAGGAGCAAGGCCCGTTATGGGGAGAAATACAACGAGCTCTAGAAGGAAGCTCCAGGTGAATGTCCTGGCTGTGGCTGGTGGGGCGGCAGAGAGAAGGGAAAAATAGAGGGAAGCGAGCCATGTTTTTTAACTTCTGCTTAGCTATTAGGCAGGGCTTTCTCAAGTCATTTTGCTGCCCCAAATGGGTAGTATGGGAGGACAGCCTCATGGTAACAGGTATGGTTCCCTCCACCCCTGACTTATGTTGATTTGGGGCTCTGCAGTGGCAGCTAAGGTAGAAAAGCACCTCCTCCTCTGCCATGTCTTCTGGGTTCCAAGGGTCTGAAAAGTGGTTCCATAGCCAGTTACACAGTTGCCAACTCTGGGTTGGGAAATACCTGTAGATTTGAGGGGTAGAGCCTGGGGAGGGCAGGGTTTGGGATGCGGAGGGACCTCAGCAGGGTATAATGCCATAGAGTCCGTTGCCCAAAGCAGCCATTCTCTCCAGGAGAACTGCTCTGGGAGCTCTTCA